AGCTGGATTACCAATGAACAAATCGACTAAATAATAGGGCCTAATGCCTCATGGAGAAAGAGCAGAGTCTACACTTCTATACAACCGGTTGGAATGAAAAGCATAGCACAATATTCATGGAAAACAACAAGTCAGATAGGATAAGAAATTGTAATGTAATGCATGAAAATAAATAATTTGGTACCAACATGCACCTATAAAAAAGAGAAAAAAAGGTTGGACAGGAAGGAAATCACCGTCATGTCTTTGTATATGGCCCTTTCAACAGCCATGTTAATCCTTAAATGAGGGAACATATCATTTGATGATGCCAGGCCTGTTGGCTTTAACTTTAGATCTGGTATTATGAACTTTCTTTGGCACATCAGTTGTTAAAGCATACATTTTCACAGCAAATAATTCCTGAGGAAGTCCTTTCTGGTCCTATATCAAAAGAAATTACACAGAAAATATTAAACTTCAGAAGGAGGTCTAAAATCAATCAATCAAGATTAATTTTCTGATGGTCAGGCCTTTCAAAATTTTAAAACTCCAATGTAATAGCTAGAAAAGTTAATGGGCATCATATGGTAGGCAATAACAAGACAAGCAAAGACGAAAAAATAGCAGATTTTGGTTTTTATAAAAAGACAGTAAGTAGAGGAACTTTAGGTGATGGGTTGCTTTCTGCCTTTTGAGCAACCATGAGGAGTTCTTTACTTTATACAGCTTAATTTTCTATCTAATATTATTATCACAGCAACTTATTTTAGCAAACTTATATGTGCCAACATAAACACCATCCAGCTGAGAGTTGGGATTTAGGGCATGGCAAAGAAGCAATTATAGAATGCGTCTAGAGAAAAACAGGTAGAAGATCCAGTTCAAGAATTAATATTAATATACTCATGGCTGTATAAAGTCATTTACCTTCATTTTGTAAAGGTGCAATCCACACTTATGAAATAGCTCTTTGAAGTATAAATCAGATCTTGTGACGCTTCGGTCTTCTTTATCCAAAACGAATCCTGCAAAAATGTAATCTCAACTAGTAAAGTTATTGGGAAAAAGGGGCAAAAAAGAGTCAGAAGACTTCATTTTGTTGAGGGAAAGATTCCACAACATGTTGAAGACCAAATATCTAGTCTTTCCTCGACCAAGCAAATTACAAAGTGAATCCATGCATTTATCAGGGCATCATGAGATATGGCTTATTATTTATCATCTGCCATTAAGGTGACAGGAGATCAGAGATCCTCCTTTCTAACTACATTTTTCATTTCGTAAATAAAGAATTTACTAAAGAATTTTCTTTTAGTGCCAAATCAAACATAATCTTGATAGCAAAGCATGACATTCATCTCTTTCCACAAATCCTAGGTTGACATTTGGTGCCTTTTCTATTGTGTATCAAGCAACAAACAAGTTAAACATTTACTTAGAACTTTACAAAAGAAGTTTACTTTAAACACAGAGGATCAAATGGAAACAACAGCAGAACACCAGGACAAAAAAAAAAAAGAAGAGAAGTTTGCAATTATGTGTGAAAGGACTTCTTAATTAAAAAAATATATAAAGAAGATGGACAACACATTACCACTTCTCGCAATGTTTTCCTTCAGGACAAAAAATCCACCAGGTTTAAGGCCAACCTGAAATTAACATATTAATCAGTAATATGGAAGTACATTTAATTAAAAGTTAAAATAAAGTTCTAGAACTCATGCAGGGATAATGCAGAAAAAAAATGGGTATCACTTCCTCAGATGCAATGAATTTGATATCAGACCTAAAAAACCATGCTATGATGCAGCGAAATTACATTTGCTCAATATCCTTCTGAATCAGTGTCTTGATTCAGAAGAACATTGATTTACCTTTGCTCTCTTAAAGAATGATACAAAATCATCATCTGTGAGATGCCCAATGCACCACTGTACCCATATAACATCATATCTTCCTGCATCTGGGGTAAATTCCTGGTAAGTTGAAAAAAGAAGGATAAAATTTACTGGTTTTACTCTCATAAAAAGATTAAAAAGTGAAGGTATTAAGTTTAATAACCAATTCAGGGTTAATACACAAAAATGTGAACCATCAACCCATATGGAAAAAGATGATCATCCCAAGAAGAGCTCATTCACTCTATATTCTAAGACACTCACCCTCCTCCTAATGCTTCACCCCTCTCCCACCATCTACCGAAGAGATTTATCACGATCCCTTACATCAGAATTCATAAATAATCCCTCATAATTTATGTAATTTGTCATGGTTATACTTTATATATCCACAAACGTTTATTCGTCTTTTGCATTGAGATAGAATTAATAAATGTTACCTGAAGGGGGATACAGTAAAAGTTGGTTGCTTTATTCATGTCAGGAGCTATATGATTTTCAAGGGACAAACTTTCACGGGCAGCATCTAAGAAATGCGACACTGGCTCAAGAAGATCAACCTGAACCAGAAAAAAGGAACAGAAATGTCCAGAGAAATGAGCTAAACCACAAAATTTAAATATAAGCATCTCAATCAGGAAGATAATTCAAATAGGAGTTTTCTGGTCCCTGATGCCTATCATGCAATAAAGTGATTGATGCAGGATCTTAGACGTCAGCACTTGGCTCAATTGTAGGATTGGGGAAACAGGATTTAGAATTTCGTAAATAGGATTAAAATTTATGTTCCTATCCAAAACACAGTAGAAATAGAAAAAAGAACCTTACCTCTTTAAAGTATCTTATGAGAAGATTCTTGGTGATTCTCCCAATGCCAGAACCACAATCTGCAGCATTTTTAGATTATTGATCAATAAAAATTAAGAATATCATTAATATTTATAATATGACTGGCATTCTAGTACAACTAGCACATCAGTTTTAGTTACAAATGAGTGACTTGTGTGATATAAGCCTTGGGTATGCTTCAAAATGTAAATACCCTGCTTGGGATTTAGAGTAATGAAAGAAACTTGCCAGATCTTAAAAAATAAAAATGTTAAAATTTCAGTTTCTGAAGATTACAAAATATTGTTTTGCTTTAGAACAGGAGGAGCCACTAAATTTATCTCCTTTTTGTTCTTTTTTGTACTCAGAAGCATGCAGATAAACCATTACTCCATCTCAATCTCCTCTACATTCTAAAAGGGTAAGATTTCATTTACAGCTGTAGACTACAGTCAGAACAAATAGACATGTAAATAGAGTTACATATAAATGATCAATGCATGTCTTGCAGAGGGGAAGAGAATGTGAGAGTACCAAGAGCAACAAGATGCTGACTTTTTCCACCATTCTGGAATCTTTCATGCAAAAGGATACTTAGAAAAGCTTCACTACCCTTGATGTCTGCTTCATTCACACAACCAAATCCACCCAATACTCCCTCTACTGATGCCTCCACACCCTTCTCTCATAAAAAAAAAGGGGTGTCCTAATAAATCAGTCCAAATGTGTTTCTCGAGAACCAAACATTAAGTTAGAGTGATTGACTTACTTCCCAGTAGGCGACGCCTTCACGGTACCATTGAGTCTTCTTTTGCTCTTCTCCTTCCGGTCCAATTTGTTCTCTCCACATTTCCTGTGCGTTATTGAATTCTTTACCATCGGAATCCGACCCAGCAACCTCCATCGCGCCTGCTGACTCGTTCTGACTCAGTACCGATACTCTTCGAGCCTTGGTTCTTGAGCTTAGCGGCCGCACAATTGAAGCAGAGAGAAGTAAGGTTTGAGCAATGGGTATGGGTATGGGTATGGGTCGGATCCACATCGGTGGCCCTTTTCTAAGTATACGGTGATGGTGCACTGATGGACGAACTTGCTATATGATAAATCTAAATATTGGTCTATCAACTATTTGTCTGTTGTCACATTGATCTAAATTGTCAATTTTTCTTTCAAACTTATCCAAAATTTTCAAAAACCACATCAAAATGGTTTATTTGCATAAAATGGCATGTATTGGTTTGTTGGGCAGAAAGAAAGTCAATGTCAGCTTGCCACATGGCACCATACTTTAGTTACATTATATTTTCAAAGTTAATTAATTATAATCTTATCTTAGTCATTTGTTATCAGATGAGTAGATACATATTAATTCACGCATCTAATAAATGAATAGAGTCAATTATAATTACTATCTTATAAAATTGTAAGATAATATTGCTGTGGGTTTCTTCTTTTTCTTTAAGGGAACCTAATCAAGGCTCCTTAACTGCCAAAAGGAGCCTACAAGGTTGCCTGATTGTAAAAGGAAGGACTGAGTGAATATATCTTACAGAGAAGACAATGCTGCATAACCCAAACACATAAGTAGGCTCCTCATAGAGGCTGACGATGATGTTCCCCTGGTGACAAGGAGAGCTGACGATGCTCCCTTTATTTCAGCAAGCACTAAGTGCTGCCTCGATGTAAGGCCCTTGTGAGCAAGCCCACTAGGGTCAAAAGCATTGCAGGCATCCATAGTGAAATTTGGATGATAAATGATAAATGAAAAATAGCTGGAGATACAAACTGTGGACCACTTGACAAAGAAATTATTACTCCATGGTAACAACAAACAATCATTGCCCCTAGAATCTTAAACTATTTGATAAGAGATTATCAGTAGAACAATTTTTTGTTAATAGTGATTACATATCATGAGAAGTAAGTACAATCTAGAATACATTCAAGCCTAGTAAGATGCGTAAATTTAAAATTAGTGAATGGATTCTTCTTAAAATTTCAAATTAATACTCTTATTGCCAATTTTGCAATGAAAATGAAAACAAATTCTGTAAATCACCAAGGAATTTCCTGACCATCCCAGGCAAAGAACTTGCCGTTGTCATGACTCTTTACATTGTTGATAATGTTTAAGAGCTTCTGCACCGAGAACTCTTTAGTAAAAAGCTTTCCCTCAGGAACATTTCTCTGAAATGGCCGAGACAGATCTGTATCAACTGTACCTGGGTGCAATAATATACAAATAACTGGGTCCTTCTTTCGTCCAAACTCTACTGAAACAGTTTTTGTCACTGCAAGCAATTAAGTCATTCCAAATTTATTTTGAAATGAAATAAGATTAAAAGAATAAACTTTCATGGCTAGACACAAATGAATGTAATGAAAGTCAAAACTGAGTGAGGCTGATGGCAAAGAAAAAAAAAACCTGACTAAGGCTGCAGTCTTAGTATTAGCCGAACCTTGGCAATTAGAAAATTTATGCTACTGAGAATAAAGAAGGAATAAAATGGTGTACACTGATTAAGGGCAGCTTTTGAAGATCTATATGAGTGCCAACCTCCCAGGCGATTATCACCAATGGACCCCACCCTGGCACTTAAGCTGGCTACAACTGCAACATCTCTCTCAGTCCCAGAACCTCCTCCAGCTTTCAGAAGGGGCCACATGTGCTGCAAATACATATCAAAAACAACAATCTTTATTCATAGTGCTAAACATCAAACCTCCAGCCAGCTAAATAAAATTAAAAACACCCATTCCAAGCATAATGTCAATCAAATGTGAATGATTCTAGAAACACATGTCCCACAATAGAAGGTTTTATAGCATTAGAAGACATTTTCAAGGACATCTCACCTAAAAGGACATCATCAAATATGAAATCAAGCAGTAGTAAATACTAGTCATATTGACAAGTAAAACAATGCTCTTGCCCCAATTCACCTGCAAATAGGATCCATACCCAAAACAATACATGGTGGTTCTTTTGAAACAAATCATAGGGCTAACCACAAGTTAAGAAGTTGAAAAGGCTGAATCAGCATACCTTGATCACTAGAGTAGGACCCACAGCATTAATCTCATAAGCAAGCATCAAGGATGACTTCTCTACTTTGCTTAATGTTGTTTCTGTACAAAGATTAAATGTAGATGTTATTCACCTGGCAAGGCTGAATTTAGAATAGGAGAAAAGAGAAGAGGAGAGGGGACAGGGATTGAAGAGAGTTAATGACTTAGAGTGAGAACCAGATATTGCACATGAAAAAGCCTCAAATAGCTACTTAAAACAGTGACAGAATATTCCTACCTGGTTGCAATACATTAGGTATAGAAAGAATGCCTGATGCATTGATCAGAAGGTTGAGGAAGCCATATCTTTCTGTTATTGACTTTGCTGATGCCTGAATGTTGTAAATGTGACTAGAAATTATTATTATTGTTATTATTGTTATTATTATTATTAATTTTTTGGCAATAAGGTGACAACAAACTATTGAAGAACCATGAATTTGTGCAATACAGGAAGCATATTTTAAGGCACCATCTTATCTCAGTAAAAAGTTACGGTAACAAAAATAATATGAAATCTTATGACAACCTATTCAACCAAAATTGTCAAACTACTCAAAGTGTTCACTATGTTCACAAAAACTTATCTGGACCTGAAATCAATCCTATGAGATTCCAGAGGAGATTATCAATGTAAAGAAATAGAACTGGAAAGCATCAGTCTAGTTAAAATTGCTAAAATTTATTTTTCTTTGATCTGTTAAAAAATGCAAGACAAAGAGACAAAGTGGAGGAAGGGGAGTGAATAACCTCTATGGTGGTTTCAACAGTCAGATCGAGTTGTAATATACTAAGGCGTTCGGTGAACTTGGTTTTTAATTCAAGAAGCCCTGTTGCCCCATCTGGATTACGGCAGGTTGCAACAACATGTCCTTTGTCATTCTTCTCCAGCAGCTGTTTAACCTGTAAGCAACAGCAAGCATTAAAAATTGAACTGAGTGGAGGACTGAAAGCATCACTGAATTAAAATTTGCACAAGCCAAGGAACTTTTACAAGAAACCACCCTTGTTGCTTTTGGCACGTTTGAGTATTTTGAAGAGAACTTTTGGATATCTCATTCCTAGATATCAATCTTTGTTATCTTGTGTGTCATTAGTATATAAGATTTTATTGATCTTTATGGTTTGTAATACTTGGAATGAGCAAGGGCATCTTCTTTGTCTCAAATCACAAATGAAATCATTAAATCTTGAGTAAGCAATTATTCAAGGATATGAAAGATGGGATATCAAAGATGACAAATGAATGAGTGTCAATAATTGTATTGATGGATATCAGCACTATGTTAAGGCAAAACGAAAATGACACATTTTCATTAGCTCTTTTCATTAATGAACATACCCATGACATTATACGTAGATACTCATCTAATGACACATTTTAAACTAACAATCCCACAAGGTGAGATTGTAACTATATCATTGCCAAAAGCAAAAACCATTTTTTCTCACCAAAATGGAAAGTTCAGATTGACATTTAGTAGAAGACTTACATATATGTTCACATTGACATCTGGGAATTTTTTTTTTAAAGCCTGTTGGAGCTCTTAAACCACCCAAGTAACCAAGACGGAAAAATAGGCAATTTCAAAGAAAATTGATAAAATAAAGTCCATTGTGAATTCGGTGAAGAAAAATAAAATTGAAATAATGACTGCAGAAGAGAAGGCTCACGAATTCGAGGCCAATTCCCCTAGAAGCCCCCTGAACCAAAGAAACTCCACCATCCAACTTGAGAGAAGAAGCAGAAGTCGAGAAATAAGCCCGTCGGATTGATCTCAGAGCCGCCGCTGGAGGAGTGGCCACGAAGAGACGATGGCATTCAAGGAAATGCCTCATCTCCTCAATTTGGCGATTAATGGTTGTCGGTAGTAATAAACTCCGTCCTGCTCAACTATTGCTCAGCGTGTCCAACTTCTTTGCCATATCTCGCTGCATCAGTAATTTATACTTTCTCTTCCTTGCGTTGTTTGGATAAAAATTAATAAAAGAAAGAAAAGAAAAGAAAAGCGAAGACAAGTGAAGGAAAGAGAATAGGTGATATTAATTTTGTTCTTATATATAAAAGTGG